GCTACTTGGGAGGCGGAGGCAAGAGACTCGCTTGAGCCCAGGAGTTGGGGGTTGCTGTGAGCTGTGATGCCACGGCACTCTACCCAGGGGGACAGCTTGAGGCTCTGTCTCAAAAAATTATCTGGTAAAAGTAAATCTTGGAAAGGTACAAGATTGCTTTCACTACACTTCTCTGAACCTAGAAACCTGAAAGAAAGGAAAAAATTCATTATCAATTATTAAAATCTGCAAGTTATCTTGCTTTCATATAAGATTTTTCTTTCTCCATATTTGCTTCATAAATTAAGTATGGAATAAAAAAGTTTGTACTTGACTGTTTTTTACATTAAAAAATAAACAGTGTGGGCTTGGTGCCCATAGCTTACTGGTTAGGGCACCAGCCACATATACTGGGGTTGGTGGGTTCAAACCCCGCCCCAAAGATAACTACAGAGTTGCCAACAAAGACAACTACAACATAAAAAATAGCCATGCACTGTGGCGGTTGCCTATAGTCCCAGCTACTTGGGTGGCTGAGGCAAGAGAATCTCTTAAGCCCCAGAGTTAGAGGTTGCTGTGAGCTATGATACTATGGCACTCTACCAAGGGAGATACAGTGAGGCCTGTCTCAAAAACAAAACAAAACAAAACAAAAAACAGTGTGTAAGCTGCATAAATGCACAAATGTTAACATTTAATAATAAAATATAAATAGTATTAAATTTTCTCTAAAATGATAAAACTTAATGAGTTACCATAAAGACTACTAAGAATTAAGTTAATATGTCAATAGAAATTAAAGAAGAAAACTCAGAACTGCTAACTCATCACTTAGTCATATAATAGTTCCTTCCTATTTGTCCTCCTTATTAATAATATATGTAGTGTTCTAAGCAATTTATGATTACAATGCTTCTGCTGCAAAGGCCATACTAATAACAGATTTCCCAAGGGTAATGTAAAGTGGTATGTAAAATAAACCTGTAAAAATGAAGACCAAGATCCAATCCATCAAAAACTGTACTTACCATCAGACTCTGAAGTAGCTCGGATGATCAAGTAACTGCTAGGGAGGGGCTGAGTTATGGATCCAACTGCTTCACCTTTTGGACCCTTAATAATTAAATAGACAGAATAAACAGTGCATAGTAAGTATCATGAGATCTTGACTTCATACTATTCATTAGTATCTGTAATAATCTAAACCAGACATGGATTATAATTTAAAAGCAAACAAGCTTTAATCACCCTTCTTGAGAATGCAAATGTTTAAGTATTAAGGAAAACGTTCCTAACAAAAAATAACTCCTTGGCAGAAATGGAACAAATTAACAGTTATCATCACTTAAATACTATCTCTATATGTTGCTTACATTTAAAGAAAACTAAAAATTTATCTTACTAAACCAAAATGTAAGTTGACAGAGAGTTTTCATCCTACAGTTACTACTAGATAAGAAATACTAAATTTCTAGACACCTAAAAAAAGCAGTTGAAAACAGAATTATAATTCAAAAGAAAAAGAGAAATAAATTTTAACTGGGTCTACAGAAAAGGGAATCCCCACTTTATAACCAGTGATATACTTGTTTTTAAAGATCAATTATAAAAGCTAATTTTATTTTTCCAGAAACTGGAAAGAAAAATAACTTTTGTTGTTGCTGTTGGCTAGGGTTATTTTTTTTTTTCAAAGTATACACCCCGAGGAATTAGTATTGCCGAGGCTAATTTAGGTACTTAGGTGGACACAGATCTTTTATAAGGTAAGGTAGCACTATACTGCCCAGGGTGGTTTCAAAACTCTGGGCTCAAGCAATCCCACTGCCTCAGCCTCTTGAATAGCTGAGATGGTAGGTATGTGCCACCGTGCCGGTCAGGATTGTTTCTATGTAGGAAGAAAACCAAGCACTGAACGTACAGTATAATTTTGATACCAACAGCATAAATTTTAAAGCTTTTTGGAAAGCATTCATTAAAGTCAGCAGGTAAAAGAATAAAATGAATTTCAAGAAGTATAAAACATTAGAAAGCAAAGATATAAATTTAAAATAAAGAAGCAAAACAAAATTAATATGGGTTTAACAAATACTATAAGCCCCAGGGCATTTTCAAATAGCTTTATAATTTATGGGACAATTCCCACAACCAGTATTGAACAGGGCATAGAGTCTAACTGGCTCTTTTAATCTTGGCTCCCTGCTAGAAAAATTACTTAATAACTTTTTTAGGCTTCAATTCTTCATGTGTATGATGGGGGTGAAACAGTATACTCCTCATAGATATGAAAGTATATTATTTAATAATAAACGATTCCATGTAAGGTGCTCAGAAGAGTACCTGACAAACTCATACACATAATTTCTTAATCAGAAACACAGGCTTTCAAAATGTTTAAACAATGTCCTAAGTAGGTTTACTTGCAGGGAATATTCTGATGTTTACATAGTTGTACAAATTTCTCTCTACTTATCCAATATTTGGAATTTAAATATATTTGACATTAAAATGTTTTAATAGTTTTAAAAATACATTATAATTCTTACAATACCTAATAGTAGTAGAATAAGATAGTATATAAAAATGTTCAACAGTTATTTTCTTCACTTGGGAAAGAATCATGAGGTATATTAATATCAGAGATTCTATGACTTAAGTTCTTTCCCCTGCGGGGAGTTCCAAATCCCAGAATGGAACTAATATGAAAGAAAAAAAAGGTGAGCTACTTTTAGGTAGCCTCAGTAGCTGGTTTTCCCTAAAAGAGGAGTTCTAACCCTTTTTTCAAGGGTAACTGACCTTAGAAGCTATTAAATTAGGCTCATTTTTTCAGTTGCTATGTGGCTGCATGCTTACTACTGTTTGCAGAATTTCTTGGTAATTAATCAAATGAGGCATCTCTATGCTCCTGCTTATTTCTGTTTTCATAGCACAGAAATGAACACACTAATGTTTTTTAGTTATAAAAGCATTAATGCTTCATCTTTAAAGAAATATGTTTTTCCTAAGAGCAAGCAGGACTGACTCTGCTTATAGGCTTCCTAAAGAAATCTGGCTCTCCTTTGGGAGTGCTAGTTCATACCTGTAATTCAGCACTCTGGGAGGCTGAATGGGGTGGATTGCTTGAGCTCAGGAGTACCAACCTGAACAAGAGCAATACCTCGTCTCTGCTAAAAATAGAAAAAAATAAGCAGGGCTTTTTGGCAGGTGCCTGTAGTCCCAGGCACTCAGGAGGCTGAGGCAGGAGGATTGCTTGAGTCCAAGAATTTGAGGTAGCTATGTGTGCTATGACACCATGGCCCTCTACCCAGTATTGAGGATGATAGAGTAAGACTCTGTCTTAAAAAAAAAAAAAAAAAAAGAAAAGAAAAGAAAAGAAAAAAAAAGAAATCTGGCTCTCTTCTAAGTAGGTCTGATTCTACTTCTAGGCTTCCTGTTACATATTTAAATCCCTACAGGAAAGATCACAAAATCAATAGCAGTTTCCATTGTAGAGGATCTTACCGTTTTGATAAAAAGGGAAAAAATGCCTATAGCAACATGATAAAATATTACGAAACAGAGTTAGAAAATACAAATTGAAAAAAGAAATACAGTAGAACCTCTGTAAGGTGATCATCCAAGGGGCTGTAACTAACTGGTCAACATAAGGAACTAGGCCTGATGCACACATGTACTGATATGTACATGTGGTACCTGACTGGTCTATGAAAATTAGGTCAACTTAAGGAGGTAGTCAACTATGGAGGTTCAACTGTAAAAAACTCTGAAATCTCAATGACAAAAAACATTATGAGATGCAATTTAAATTTAAGAAACATTTCTGGAGCAATTTTTAAACTTAGATTTTAAAGGTAAGCAAAGCCTTTTGGTGTACATTTCATTGTGGATAGAGATAGAATGGGGAATAATGTACTTGAAAACAGAAATAAATTTATGTAAGTCCTGGCAGAGGACAGAAATCACTTGAATAATTTACAGTTCTATTCATACTTTTGTCATCTTCACCTTTTACCTATATAGTAAGCACTTACATACCTTTACTGCCCAAATAGATTGTTCCAAAGGATGGAAAAGTTTGAAACAAAAGCCATCCTTTTTTGATGGACGCTCAATGATTTCACAGGCATTCAGAAGGACTGTTCCTACCCACTGACCATTTTTTTGGGTTTTATAGATCAGTAGCACCCCAGGTTTCAACACACACCACAACTTGGTCCAGCTCTTTAGTGTACCACGAATCTAAAGAAAGATAAGTTTATTTTAAAAATAATAATCTGCTTTTCTCTTTCCGCTCTATAAGATATAAACTGAAAAATGGCAAATAAGGAAGGTATTTTTATCTAAAATTTCCATAATATGTACACTTCATATTTAATAGATTGTATTTTAAGAAAAGCTACCGTATGGCAAACACCGCAAATAGACATGAAAATGAGGTGGTTCTTGCTTCTAAGGAACTTACATTGTAGTGGAAGAGCAGGCCAACAGTTTCAAAATCACATACTAATTAGAAAAGTTTTCCTACTTTCTCTGACCAGGTCAGGGACCATTAAAATACACTTTCCTAGTACTGAGATTCTTCTTAGTGCAACATTTATCATAGCTATGATATTATTTTTGCAAGTCTATGATTCTCCTGCCTTTAAATTTTTTTTCCCCTCATCACTGCATCAACAGTGCTGAAAACATGGCTGGCACACACCAGGCACACCCTAGATATTTGGTAATTGGTAGGAAAAGAAAAGAACCTCCTCCTGAATTGTTTTGTTCTTAATAATCACATAAAGCATGCCACATAAATTCTCAGGGAGATTTTAAAACACAACTCACTTCAATCTCACTCTCATAATAAAATGTTCCTCATCCTAGGTTTTAACTCTAGGTGAACGACACGTCTAAAACTAGTCTTTTCTATCAATGTTTCTGTAATCTATTAAAATTTCTGAACTTGCTGAATTCAAAATACAAAAGGATGTTAATATTTAGGTTAAAAAATAGGAATTGGCTCGGCGCCTGTGGCTCAAGCGGCTAAGGCACCAGCCACATACACCTAAGGTGGCGGGTTGGAATCCAGCCCAGGCCCACCAAACAACAATGACGGCTGCAACCAAAAAAAAAAAAAAAAAAAAAAAAAAAAAAAATAGCCAGGCGTTGTGGCAGGCACCTGTGGTCCCAGCTACTTGGGAAGCTGAGGCAGGAGAATCGCTTGAGCCCAGGAGTTGGAGGTGCTGTGAGCTGGGATGCCACAGCACTCTACCCAGGGGAACAGCTTGAGGCTCTGTCTCCAAAAAAAAAAAATAGGAATTACTCTCTTTATTTACTGTGAGACATCCGTTCTTTTTAAGGTACTTACGTGAACTATGAAGTAAGCAGGGCTCCCTAAGACCTCAAATAAGCCTACCACAATAATGTTGAACAGGAAACATTTAGAAAGGAAGAGTGGGGAGCCAGGAATGGAGAAAAGAGAAAAATCTTTAAAAAAAAGAATGTGTATTTTTGAAAGAATACTTACATAGATGAGAAAGGATAGTAAGGAAGAGAGTTACCCTGAGAGAACATTCTGGATAGTAGAGATGTGACAGTAGAATACGGAGGACCAATAATCAGAAGGGAAGGTCAGGTTTAGAAATCAGCCCAGGAAATGTTGGGGACTTACAGAGGAGTAGGTTTAAATAACTCTGGAAAATCAAGTGAAATCTGGAGCTAATATACTTCTCAGTAGAAACAAACTAAGTTGGAAGGTGTTTTTAGCATAAGATTGAAAAAAGACTGCAGTATTACTTGAATTGTCAAGGAAACTATAACTAGACTCCCATTTTAGTGAGAAACTTCTATGACGGATCTCACAGAGATTGTTAGGGTAAAGCTCTGCCTTACTAAGTGAATGCCAGGTACCTAAACTTTCTGTAAGTCAGAGTCCTACGATGTCACTCTTAAAGTTATAATTAGTCTGAAAGATTCCTACTGGCAACCTTTCATAAGAATCAGAAAGAGGACAGAATGACTGGGATGAGAGAAAAATAAGTAAAAATAAGCAGAGTTCAAAAGAATACGGTATGAAACAGGACTATGTGTGTTTGATAATTAATGATTTTCAAACAATTTACTGAACTTTACCTATTCTCTTTTTCAATAAAGTATATACCAAGTTTACAGTAATACTTAATAATCCTAAAAAACAAAAAACGTTTACTACATACCACAGTAGACAGTCTATCACATAGATCAAGAAGCCTTTTTACAAACTGTTGTGATGGACACTGCTGTGAAAGAGCTGTGAAGGTTCTGCCTCCCTCTAGGTCACAGCACAGAGCTTCTGGACCACAATTCACAAACAATCACCCTGGAGGCAAACACTCAGCAATTCCAATTCAAGGATAGTAGTGCACTGACCTTCAGCCAGTCAGCCATAACAATGACAGAAGGGTCTGTGATTGTACTGAGTAACTCCTTTGTAGCTCTTTTCTTTTCTTCTCGGTAATTTTTCTTTTGCACCTATTTTATGAAAATGATAGAAAACTTTAAAAACTCAATAAAAATAAGCAATTTCTTTTCAACTTTTTGCATTTATAGGATAAAATTCTAACCTCTTTAGAATGCTAGTATCTTAGGATTAAAAAAGTATGTTTTAGAGCTAGGGGAAGTTTTAGACAATCAAAGTTAGAATCTAGTTTTTCTGATCATTAGTCCAGTTTTCTGTTTAAAGATTTTTACTTCTTTTAAAACTATAATACATGAACACATGTATTATTCGCATATTATTTGCATCTCCTGGTAAAAATTTCAAACAGTACATCTAAAAACCATCTTTGTCATACTCCATCCTGTTCTCAACCTGGGGACTGACCACTATTAACCTTCTAGAAAACACTGTCCTTTCCAACCTTTCCAATGTACGCACAATCTATAGAAATATGTAGACTTTTGCGTGGGGTGGTTAACACATAAAAAAGTTCCCCTATTCAATATTTTTTGAAGTTTCCACGTCCACCTTACCCTTTTAACTGTTCAGCAGGTTTCTACTACAAATAACAGGAGTAGTGACTGAGTGCATTCTGTTCTGAGCACTTTACCCTATTACCACGACCTCATTTAATCCTCACGATAACCTCGGGAAGTAGAACTATTATTATTCCTGTTTTATAGATGAGAAAACAGAGGTAGAGGGAGTAACTTGCCCGAGATCACACAGTAAGTGTGGAGTGAGGATTCAAATAGGACCAGCCCGGCTCCAAGAGCTGTGCTCCTAACCATTAGGAAAAGTACTTACACAATCTTTCTTAATAAATTCTCTTACTGATAGAAACCTCTGTTACCAGGTTTTCCATATTACAAACCACGCTGCAAATGAAAGTTTTGCTCTCTTTCTTGATACTAATATCTTTCACCACAAAAGCTGCATTTAATAGTAGACTACTCACTATATATAATAAAATTTGAATAATTCTATACCTCCAAAACTTTAGACTTTTGGTCTTCATTGATAGACTTGAATGAAGAGATTTGATATGAGATTGCAAATGTATCCAAGACGGGGCATGGAACATAAAAGGGTAAGACAGACCAGCCAGGGATCTTGGCTGGAAAGTGTGCATTTCTTAAGCTCTAGACTCTGAGGCCATTTGGGAAGGGCGGGCCCAACACTACATATTTCTTAAGGGAAATTAAAAATCTAGACTTGCACTTGTTAGTACAAATTTTTAAAACATTATGTAGTATGAACAAAACTTTTGCGTGACCCAGCAGTTAGCAAACTAATTTCAAGGGCCACCAGAGTTTCCCAGCAGGTATCCCATGACACAGTGCTAAGTCTGGCTTGGGATATGTGTGTGGAGATATCAAGTGCTCAGCCCCAGGTCAGGCTTAGACTGGTCAGGTGAGGACTGAGGAGGCTTGCTCTGAGATAGTCATCAAGCAGGCTTGTCAGCTGACCCCAGCGTACAACACAAATATTAACATTTTCTATGTGTGTCTGTACCTCTAGATTTTTTTCCCTTCTTGGGAAAACATACACACGTTTCCTTATCTTATTAGCCTCCTTCTAACAGCACATTCAAAGTACATTTCAGAAGTAACTGTGAAAACTAACCTTAAGAGATTCTTTCTTTGTGAGCTTGTTTGAAGTTGAGCTGTCCTTCTCCGAGCCATTATAAAGTTTAGATTCAGACTGAAATTGCACAGAAATGAACAGAAGGGAAATTAAAACCTTCACTTACTCTACACGTCATTCAAAATTAACGTGAAAGTTGTTTGTGATTCTTCCCATTTGGTGCTGTAATTTAAGCAGTTGATTATCAAACAATAATGTTCTTTATATACTATTTTTGTTTAAAAACAAACCCATATTAAACCCACAGATATATAAAAGTAAAAAGTAATCAATAAATTAGTTTACAATGTTTAGTTATTATAAACAAGATCATTTGTAAATTTTACTTCCTAATTTTCAGGGTATTTTGAAGAACATATAAAATTAATTAATTATACTTAGAACAAAAGTAGCTCAAGTAATATTGTTATTATTGTTATTCTTATTTTTTTAAGAGACAGAATCTCACTCCATTGCCTTCAGTAGAGCGCTATGGCATCACAGCTCACAGCAACCTCCAGCTCTTGGGCTTAGGCGATTCTCTTGCCTCAGCCTCCCGAGTAGCTGGGACTACAGGCGCCGGCCACAACGCCCGGCTATTTTTTTGTTGCAGTTTGGCTGGGGCTGGGTTTGAACCCACCACCCTTAGTATATTGGCACCCTACTCACTGAGCCACAGGCACTGCCCTGTAATACTGTATTTTAACAGTTGAAATACTCTACATAAAAAAACCAAACCATGTAAAGTCTAACACTTTGGTACACACATTGCTCTGTTGTTACTCCTCCTCCAATAGTAATAAAAACATCTCTATAAACTAATATTGAACCACTATAGTTTGTACAGTGTAACAATTCCTAGAATCTACTTCTTCCCATTTATCCAGTGGACCTAAATATTAATGTCTTAAATTTGTTTCCAGACTTTCAGTTTATACTTCACATTTTTATTTGATTGTCATGAGAACCTTGAAGAGCTACAGCAGGTAGCTTTATCTCCATTTTACAAACCACGAAAGGGAGGCTCAGGAAGGAAGGTAAATCTTCCCAATAATCATTAACATCACAGGGGTCAGAAGCTGGGTCTCCTAATCCAGTGCTTGTTTAGAGCACCAGAGTAGAAGAGTACAAAGCTATAAGCTATTCTGATTTTTCTTAGAACAACAAAATTAAATATATTCCTTCAATATCCTAAGATTTTTATTCTTACCTATTATCAGGCACAGAAGGTACTTAAATTCCAGTGCTCCCAGTGCCAAGAGAGTTGATTCAAATGGGGGCTTTTGAACATTCAAACAATGAATGGTGGTCATTCAATAATGACCAAATTGGCACAGTATCACTAGATATGATAAAGGATTAAGATTTTGGATGTGCCTTCATTCTATTTTATTTTATTATGTATTATTTTTTTAGACAGAGTCTCACTCTGTTGTCTTGAGGTTGATGCTGTGACTGTCATCATAGCTCACAGCAACCTCAAACTCCTGGGCTCAAGTGATCCTCCTGCCTCAGCCTCCCAAGTAATTGGGACTACAGGTGTCCACCACAATGCCAGGATATAATTCTGTATCTAAAAATAACTTCTCTATTTTTAGTAGAGACAGGGTCTCGCTCTTGCTCAGGTTGGTCTTCAACTCCTGAGCTCAAGCAATCCGCCCATCTCAGCCTCCCAGAGTGGTAGGATCACAGGCGTTGAGTCACCATGCCCAGCCATTCCATTTTTAGAGTCATGAGTACTGATAACATGTTTACTTTTCAACATTATCCAGTGTATCACCTGAAAAAAAGGAGGGACTCAATAAATACCTGGTGAATTAACAAAATGAAAATAAAATTGGCACTTGCAGCTCATTTCTCTCCTCTCTCCTAAAAATGCCTCTGCTACTTGGTACAAAATATGGGTTATTTTGGTGCTGGCTGTAACTGGCAAAATTAGAAGGGAAATGCAAACAATTCTCAATGTAGAAGAGAGAGATTAACCTAAATATAAACTTTTGTTAAAGTTACTCCTTTAGGAAGAGGGCTTGAAATATCACATTGCTCACTCCCACAATGATAGCTTATACGGTGACACTAGACAATTTCATGAAATTCCTCAGGCCAAACAGGTCTCTGTCTTCCCCTTGGCCTTGGGAAAACGAAGATGGCATGGCTACTGTCAGAGGAATATAATGTTTTAAAATTATGAGGAAATTCTATTTCCCACAGCTTAATAGGGAAATGTATATAGTACTTCTCAGACACTATTAAATGAAGAGTGCTAAATTTAATGTAAGTATTAAATTATAGCTTAGATGTCAATAACGGTTAATAGCTGTTTACTACTTACCAAGTACAGTGTGACCCTTGAAAACTGGTTTGAACTGTGTGAGTCCACTTATATGCTGCGTTTTTTATCAAAGTTACACCAAGTGTGCCTGTCTCTCCTTCCTCCCCTTGTACCTTCTCCAATTCCACCTCTGCCACCCAAGACAAGACCAACCCTTCCTTTCTTCCTCCTCCTCAACTTACTCGATGTGAAGATGACAAGAATATAGACCTTTCTGATAACCTACTTCCACTTAATGGTACTAATATATTTTCCTTATGATTGTCTTAACATTTTCTTTTCTCTAGCTTACTTTAAGACTATAGTATATGAGACATATACAAAATATGTGTTAGTTGATTGTTTTAAATTATCAATAAGGTTTTCAGTGAACAGTAGGCTATTAGTAAAGTTTGGGCGGAGGCAAAAGTTATATGCATATTTTTGACTGCACAGGGGCTCAAAGTTGGCACCCCAGCCCATGTCGTTCAAGGGTGAACTATTTAAATACTGACATACTCAAAGCACCTCTACGACAGCAGTAACGAGGAAGCTAAGAGAAACAGATTAAATATCTTGCCTAAGTGGATGAGCTGGGATTTGTACTTTAGTCTAATTCCCAGCCTCAGGCACTTAGTCATCTCACTATATTGATTTCTCACCTAAATTATTCATATAGCATTTTAATCAAACTCAAATTTAAGACTTATCTTTATGAACAAGAAGGAATCTGTTTCCCCAACAAATCCAATGACAAAATCTGGCTTGGTTATTCCTAAAATTCCAGTACACAAGAGATGAGCAGGGCTTCTGGGTGTCTCCTGAGCTCAGTAAATCAGCCTCCATACCTCAATGAGTCTCTGCCGTACTGTGCAGCCTAGTTGTGAAGTGAAAAAGAACCAGCCACCAAGTACTATAGTCTTTTTATACACTACTATTTCAGTTTTCTGAACCAACACACCTTTCAAGTATCAAAAAAGATAAACATTTTTGAAGTGTTTGAATTCAAACATTTGAAATTCGAATGAATTCAGTTCCGTTGAAAATATTTTACTAAATTAAGTTTCCCTTCCTTCAGAAACTTTACTAACCACTACCTTAATGCCAGCCATCAAGACAGATCAGTTTACTGTGTAATACTACCTGGCTCTTCATTAAATGGCCTTAGAATGCTCAGCACTTTATATTTTTTCACTCTTTCTCTTTTCTTTTTCTTTTCCTCTTACTGTTATTTCTTTTGATGCTATGTGACTTTGAGAAGTTACTTCATTTCTGTCATCTTAGTTTCCTCATCTGTAAAATGAAGATACTACTAATTCAGAGTTAAGCGTTAAATGCTTAAGGGTTAAATGAGGTCACAGTGTTCATAACCTGTTAACACAGGACTTGGTAAATGCCGTGTTTCAGGTTTATACTTCAGATTGCTAGTGTTGCTAAAGAAAAGCACACTGTCCTTTAGATAAATCAGACATTAATATATGAAAATACTTTGCAATTTACTTTGAAAATTATGAAATACTACAGATAGAACAACAACAAATTACTATGATTGCATCAGATGTTTTGATTTAGAGAGGTTTTTTTTTTAAATGTCCAGGTAAATGTATTTTCTAAGGCAAGTAACAAACAACTTAGCAAACCTATAGGCAAGCAGATATAGATGGATGAAGAATTAAGAGAGCTGGCTCTGGAACCCCTTATCTTTGTAAGAGGACTCCTTTTATCCTGCTAGACCATCACTTATACTGTAATTCTCTGTGCTGAAAATTTACTTAAAAATGATACTTTGTTTGGAATATGATTAACTGACTTTTCCAATTCACTCATTCATACAGTGAAAATACCTAGGAAAAGATGCATGAGAAAAAGAAATTAAGTTGATTTTAAAAAAGTGTTCTTGAAGTGAGGAGGGCATGTTCCACTGTGCTTACTGCTTCCCGTTGTACATTTTAAGCAGGAACAGTTAATCCCAAATCCTATGACTAAATAACAGTATTGATATTTTTTGCATCAAGTCTATAAGAGTATAAAATTAAAATTGTTTGATGGTCTCAGTTAAAGATATCAATCATGAAAGGAATAACCAAAAAAAAATTTTTTTTTTTTTTTAAGATAGTCTCAAACTATCGCTGTGGGTAGAATGCCATGGTGTCATAGCTTACAGTAACCTCCAACTCTTGGGGTCAAGCAATCCTCTTGCCTCAGGTTTTGTTTTTCTATTTTTAGTAGAGATGGGGGTCTCGCATTTGCTCAGGCTGATCTCGAACTCATGAGCTCAAGCTATCCACCCATCTTGGCCTCCTAGAGTGCTAGGATTACAGGCATGAGCCACCATGCCTAGCCAGGAATAATAATTTTTTATTACCCAAAGTTAGTTAGGTAACAATAGAAATCTTCAGAAGTCCATCAGAATGAGGTTAAATAATAAATGTATAAATTTTATGATTTTCCTAAAAAATTAGAGTGGGTTATAAGTTTAAATATTTAGGGCCAAATTAACAACTATAGATTTCTTTCTTTCTTCTTCTATTTATTTTATTTATTTAGTTAGTTACAGAGACAGGGTCCAGCTATGTCACCTAGGCTGAAGGGCAATGGTGTGGATCATAGCTCACAGCAGCCTCAAATTCCTGGGCTCAAAGCTTTGACATTACACGTGTGAGCTACTGAGCCCATCCACAACTACAGATTTCCTAAACTATATTGAACTGAGATTCAATCTAAATTATGAGAGAATGGTTCAGCGCCTGTGGCTCAAGTGGCTAAGGCGCCAGCCATGTACACCCAAGGTGGCGGGTTCAAATCCAGCCCAGGCCCGCCAAACAACAATGACGGTTGCAACCAAAAAAAAATAGCCGGGCGTTGTGGCGGGCGCCTGTGGTCCCAGCTACTTGGGAGGCTGAGGCAGGAGACTCGCTTGAGCCCAGGAGTTGGAGGTTGCTGTGAGCTGAGATGCCACGGCACTCTACCCAGGGGGACAGCTTGAGGCTCCTGTCTCAAAAAAAGAATAAATAAATAAATAAATTATGAGAGAATTAGTAAATTTCAGCTTTTGGGAAGTAACATGGTGAGTATAATTTTACTTATACCAAATAGCTCCCATGGTTAATTCTTTATTCAAAGTAGGAAAATACATTCTTAAACACCTATTATCAATCAGCTACTTTGTCAGGCACTTGCTGCATCACAATCTGGGAGGCAGATCTTATCTACTTTGCATGGAAAAGAAAACTGAAGCCACTTTGAATTCTACTTTTACCACGCTCTAGTTCAGTGGTTTTCAACTTGTGAATTGTGACCCCTCTGGGGGTCAAACAACCGTTTCACAGGGGTCGCCTAAATACACTGTATATGAGATATTTATATTATGATTCATAACAGTAGTAAAATTACACTTATGAAGTAGCAACGAAAATAATTTTATGGTTGGGGGTCACCACAACATGAGGAACGTATTAAAGGGTTGCAGAATTAGGAAGGTTGAGAACCATTGCTCTAGTTATTTTGATCCTTAGAGAGTTAAATTCTCTGAGCTACAATTTGGCTTACTCATAAAGTGAGGCCAGTGATACCTGTCTTCCAGTATTGTAATGGGAGTTAAAATGGCACAAGTTAGCTCTCAACTGAAAGTAACTAGTAAGCCAGGTGCAATAATCTGGAGTCCCAGCCATTTAGGAAGTTCCCTTGAGCCCACAGTTTGAATCCAGGCTGGGCAACATGGCAAGACCTCATCCCTTTTTCTTTTCTTTTCTTTTTTAAAGTAGCTATTAATGTCATTGTAATTAACATCTAAAATGTTAGAGGTAAAGAATGAGATTCAAGATTCAAACTCGCTCTTTTGAATCTAAAGCAGTGCTGCCTGGTAAGCAGGACTTTCTAAATGACAAACGTTCTCTATTGCTCAGCTGCATAATGTGCTAAGTATTAGCCATATGTGGTTACTGGGCATTTGAAATGTGACTAGCATAACTGAGGAATTGAACTTCTCATTTTATTTAATTTTCATTAATTAAAGATCTACATATGACTCATGTAAATATTATATAAATACAAAGTACTAAATCCTATTAAATTTCTATCCTAAGTACTCTATACATATGCTAGATGGCCTTTTATGTAGTGAACACTTGAAAAGTATGAATAATCTTTTTGTAAAAATCATGCATAAAAACACTGTATAATCTTTTCAACCACTCCCCCAAACAGAAGCAAGAAATGTTGAGTTGTAAAATAAGGGTCTATTGCTGAGACTAAATAGGTCTTCTTATATGTCATTGACGTTTGAGTCCACAAGCACAAAAGCTCCTCCTGCTTCTAAACTTGACCAGAAAGAATGGTCAAAAGTCAGATACCTTGACAAATTGCAGAAAATCTAGTGAACTACAAGACCCATGGGGAAGCCACTGCATCATACAGTGTTCCTCAAATTTGAATGTGTATTCTTAAAGAAAAAAGGCTCAGCAGACCCAAGAATAAGTGTTAGTATCCCAGTCTGAGAAATAATGGTTTAGGAAATTATGTCTTATTCTAAGAAAATGTCTTTCAATGGCAGGCTACTACTGCAAAAGTCTTTACCTGGTAAAATGTATATATTGTGACTGCTATCCAAACACTTGAGAAAGCCCAGAGAATCTGTCTGAATGGAACCCTCAGGACTCCAGGGTGACAAGCACTGCTGTGGCACACACAGAAACAGTGGTACTCTGGAGAGTGTGCTCATTACCAATAGGCCGTATTGGTAACCAACAGCTAAGTAACCAACAGCACTTAGCTTCCAGTGAAACCTCATTTTTTTATACATACCACGTGCTTTAGATATATCAACATAAAAACATCCCATGGAAGCCTGACAAGATTTCAGTGTTAGTACTCTCATCTTAAATATCAGAAAAATGTCATAATCATGTATCTGGGGACAATATACTTACCTTACTCTTTGACATAGAAAGTGAAGACTCATCTTTATTTTGAGAAATATCTTCCTTCCCTCTTTCAAAACCTGTGAAAAAACATTATCAATCTTACTACTTTTGAACATACATTATAATTAATTATAAAAAGGAAATATATTTAAGTCATACAACTGCGAATACAAATTTGATATACATCAGCATAGGAAGCTTGTACATACAGTTTTAAACTATTATAAATACCTCTAAAAGGTCATATCTAGGATAATCTTTCTTTAGAATGAAGGATTAGAGACATAATTAAATCCTTCCCTGAACCTACTAACATCAAGCAAAAGATTTCTTTTCTGTGTTCCTTTAGTACTTTACATGAATTCAGCCCTCATAGAGCTTTTATTCTAGTGAGCTACTTTTGATAAAGAACTCTCAGAGGACCAACACAACATACTTTTCAACCTCTTGTTAAACTGGAAAATTCCAGAAGAGGTAATGAAAGAAGATTAGAGAAATAAATCTGGATTGAGGCTTGGCGCCTGTAGCTCAGTGGCTAGGGCGCCAACCACATACACTGGAGCTGGTGGGTTTGAACCCAGCCCGGGCCTGCCAAACAACAACAACTCCAACCAAAAAATAGCTGGGTGTTGTGTCAGACCTACAGTCCCAGCTACCTGGGAGGCTGAGGCAAGAGAATTGTTTAAGCCTAAGAGCTTGAGGTTGCTGTGAGCTGTGACGCCATAGCACTCTACCCAGGGTGACACAGTGAGACTCTGCCTCAAAAAATAAATAAATCTGGATTGACTTTTTAAAAAAATCTAATAATGTGCTTACTGTGAGAATTAGACAATGATGCAGATAAAGCACTTAGCATACAGGCAGTCCCCAAGTTACAAACATATAACTTACAACTTGTACTCATGAGTGCAAGCTATTACATTAAGTTCCCCGTCTCCAAGTGGCAAACATGGAGGACTCGCACTTACAATAGAGGCTATTACAGGTAATACATATAAGCACCTGTTCTGACTTATATACGACTTCAATGTACGGCTGTACCTACAGACCCTGTCTCATTCATATCCTGGGGACTGCCTGTCGACCTCTGTACATAGTACACATTCACTTAATGTTGACTCTCACTGTTACACATATCACTGTCTATTGCTACACAAATTCTGAAAGTATAAATCTGTACCACATGACAGCAGTGGGACACACATACATGTATCTCTAAAGTGATACAGAACATTAATACTAACAAATGAATATTCTAAAGGCGTAGTTAGAGAAGTGTGAACACTGGGACTGTGTAGCAGGCACAGAAGGAACATTACACATCCTATGAGGTTTTTCTACTTTTGAGGACAGGTAATAAACTCTTCCCTATGATTATCTGTTCTGAGCCTAACAGAAACCTACATTAAAAAAATTAACATAGAATTAGTCATAAAAGTAACATTTAAAAAATCAATGCCTGAAGCATTTTAAAATCATTTCTAGTGTATCAATGATAATACTATTTATTCTGTATTTAGTTTATAATAGCTAAAAACAAACACATTCAATTTTCTTAATCTGGATATTTACTTATCTATTTATGTCATATGAAAAAGGAATCTTTTTACCCCCTCTCTGGTAAAAGGAAAGATCACTCAATCCCAAGACTGGGGGAAAAAACCTGTTTCATAAATGCAACATGGAATTTTAAATGAAAACTTACAGGAATTTGAAACTTTAGCATAAATCAAAACCAAAAAGTTACCTAACTCAGTTTAAAAATTCTACAATATTTAGGGCGGTGCCTGTAGCTCAAAGGAGTAGGGGGCTGGCCCCACATGCCAGAGGTGGCAGGTTCAAACCTAGCCCTGCCCCCCGCCCCCAAAAAAATCTACAATATTTAAACACTGTAATAAGTAATTCTCAATAGTAATGACTAAAATAAATCACTCCAAACATCTTCCCAATATATGTGCAAGAGAGTATTTTCTAAAATATAAATTGTAAATGAAAAGAAATAATGTTTTATTTTCAGACTTCAATTATCCTAGCATTGTCTTGGTTTTAGCTAAATCTAGATCAATCTATTTATTAGATCAAGAAAAAAGCCTCGTTCACTGTATTGCCATTCACACATTTTAAAAATAGAACAGTAAATGAAAATGAAGTCATAAGTCAGAAAAAACTTTTTAAAAAAGCGAAGTCTTCATCAAAGTTTCAAATGTTGGAAAGGACACTCATAAACCTAGACTGTGCATCACCTCTCAATTCTAATACATGAATCCAATTCAACTGCGGGCAGCTGGCCATGCAGGACAGGCGGTCAGGTGGTCTGACCAACCAGCTTGCCAGTGTTCCATTACCCCAGCCTCATCACCTGCAAGAATGTGCAAATTGTACTTATGTCTAGCACTTAAAACTGATTCCACACTAATTATGAATTCCAGGTTCATCTCACAGTTAACAGAACTGGAGATAAGGCAGAATCAGACATTCTTCCACCTACCCAGGGACACCTATATAACTGATGCTTCCTTTCCTCCCTTATTTTATACAAAAATGTGGATTTCTTTTTTCTTTTCTTTTTTTTTTTAGAGACAGAGTCTCATTTTGTCACCCTTGGTAGAGGGAATGCGGTGGTGTCACACCTCACCGTAAACTCTTGGCCTCAAGCAATTCTCTTCAGCCTCCATTACAGCTGGGACTACAGGCGCCTGCCACAATGCCTGGCTATTTTGTTTGTTTGTTCAGCAGGCGGGGTTCCAACCAACCAGCATTGCATGTAGCCGGTGCCCTAAGTGGTGAACTATAGGCACCAAGCCTAAAATGTAGATTTCTAGGGCCCCACAAGAATGTAACCATTATCTCATCAGTTCCCCCATCTTCACCTTTTTCCTTCTCTATGCCTTTAACATGCTGAAGGTTCCAACCTCCCTCAGAAAAACAGCCATGGCCTATCTTCAGTTCATGCTTTCCCTCAGCGTATCCTCAGAATCTTGGCTTAATAAACCTCCATTGATCGAAGGGGAAAAAAAGATTCTCTATACCTCAAACCTACAAATCAAAGGATTATTTTGAAAGCTGGCCCTGATAACTTACAACTTATTTAAAACTATGGAGGAATACAGCAAAATGCTTCCTAAAACAGTTAAGTCTGCTCAAATACTGTGAGGTTCAACTGAGAGCAAACAAGAAGGTGATCAGTGTAAAATGCAAAGAACACAGAAAAACATTCAAACGACCTAAATTATTGCCATATTTTTGTAAACTGTATTTCCAAGAGTAATTCCAATAGAGCAAAGCAAAGTGTCACACTAGTAATTCTTTCTTTAGACCTGACAAAGGTAATTTCCTTAAATGTGAAAAATAATCTTTATCCTGAAAAGTTAGTCATGAAAGTGTATTTATTAGCAGCAAAAGAGGCTCTGTCAAAATATTTCTTAGGCTTTAATTCATTTTCCACCATATATAGAAATCCAATATTACTTAAAAATCACTCCTTTATTTAAAAAAAGTTATAGACAAGATTCCTGAAGTCTACCACACATTATTGACTACTACCATTAATGAAGAATAGGTTCAGATCATGACTTTTCCCAAGTTTGCTTATTAGTGACCTGGGGCAGTAAATCCTCTTGCAGCTACCCTCCCCAACCCCACATTGCTATCACAATGACCCAAACTGAAAGTACTAACACCATCTAAGCACAGATGAGAAAACAGAGCAACTGGAACTCTGTTCACTACTGGTGAGCGTATCAAGAGGCATAACCACTTTGGAAAACTATTTGACAGTATTCCCTAAAGCTAAATGTACATATATTCTAACACAGAGAATTCTAATCCTAGATACACCCAAGAGAAATGAGTATGTCTATCGCCATCAAAAGAGAGGTGTAAGAGTCTTCACAGCAGCTTTATTCATAATGGCCCAAATCTGGAACCCAGTCATACATAGGACCATTGATAGCAGGAAAAATGAACATCTTATTGTATATCCATACAATGTATTATTACACAGCAATGAAAAAGAACAGACATGATACTGAGTAAAAGAAGCCACTTTTCCCCATTAAGAAAAAAGGTACAAAACATATGATTAATCTACGGTATCAGAGGTTGAAATAGTGGCTTATCTTTGCTGTGGGAATTACTGACTAGAAGGGCCTGAGGTAGTCTTCTGAGGATCTGAGGAATAGTTACACATGTCTACACATGGCCAAAAATCCAAAACACTGCACACTTAACTATGTATGTAACTATACATTATATAGCTCTCTCTCTCTATATATATATATGTGTGTGTGTATACTTATGCTTCAATTGAAAAAAAAAAAAGACACACACACACACACACACCCCCCCCCACACACACACACCTTTCCCTAGTCTTCCAGTTCTAGACTTCTGCTTTGGCATCTTTTCCAATCTAGTCTATATCCCTTTAACTTACTTTGTACCTAACTAATTCTGATTCATTTATCAACAATAATGATAATTAATTAACACAACAATACTAATAAAAACAATAAGCAATACCCATCGGTAGGAATCCTTGTGGGGATAAGGCACTGTGCTAGAGGCTTTACTTATTTTTTTCTAATCTTAAAATATCATACACACACAAAAAATTAACCTTATTTTAGAGCTAAAAACAGTAATGCTCACAGAAATAAATTAAGTTGACTAATGTCAACAAGTGATAGAATGAGAACTGTTCAAACTTACCTTTATTTATGCTATTTCTACAATGCCATGGTACCTCTCCAGACCCAAGGCCACCTCTTTGGGGAGGTCTTGCTTTGACTGTGTAGCCCTTGTTAGCTATCACCTTCTCTGAGACACTTAATACTTAACATATATTTGGGCTCCATTTTTACTTCTAAAGATCTTTTTAAAATGTGAAATTAGCACATCTTCAGAAAAATGTATAAAATGCAAATATATAATTTAACAGATACAGGAAGTATTAATGTAACCACTGTGCAAATCAAGGACTTGAGAATTGTTAACATCCCATAGGATCTCCCTCAATGTGAGTCTTAATTACAATCCACTCTCCTTCTTCTCAAAAGTAATTATCTTGACTTTTTGC